ATATATATATATATATATATATATACCGTGTGCTCATCATGTATGCTCAAGTGTATGTTTGTGATGAGTGCTGCCTGTGTAGTGTTAACATGAGAGCTGAATTTGTGAGGGTGTGTATCTGTGTGTTGTGACTACGTGACTTTCGAGGGTGTCTCTGTGGAATGTTTGCAACGTTTGTGGACAATGTGTACCTGTGTGTAATGTTTGTGTAAGGTTGACGCGTGTTGTTTTCATGAGTTGGGGCCCTGTGTGTCCTGTATGGTCTTTGAGGGGATATACGAAGGGCGTGGGGGCGGTGGGGCGTATGCTTTTGCAGGTGCACTGTGTCTGTGGGGGGGGGCATGTGGGTGTGAGGGGATGTCACAGGGGAAGGCGGGATAGCCCAACACTGCAGAGAGGGGCAGAGTTCTAGCTTCCACGCTGCCATCTCTGGGCTGTGTGACATGAGCTAGTACTGCCCCCCTCCAGCCTCAGATTTCCCTCAAAGCCCAGTACTTGAGGTATTCTAGAAAGGCCTTCTGGTCATGAGGAAAGCAGTTTGAGTAGGACAGGAAGGGGTCACAGTGGCCTGTGCCAAAGAAGATGGTCCCAGTAAGAGCTGGGTGTGCCCAGCCCTCCGCCCCCTGGCCCATGCTCCAGAGGCCCCACCTGTCCCCCTGCCGAATGGGAATGCTGCCCACTCTCATTGCCCCTGGGGGCAGCCACAGACACACGTTAGACAGGCCCCCTCCCCACACCTTCCAAGCACAGCCAGGGCAAACTTCACAAACCACTTCACTCCTTCCCTGAACGAAACCAGCATGAAGAAGATAGAACAGCTGCCAAAAAAAAAAAAAAAAAAAGCAAACAATAACCAGCCAGAAATCACAAGCAGTGCCATCGACTGGATGAATGCCACGGGCAGGCAGTCACTGACACAAAGGAGCTCACTCCTCAAACAGCCCTAGTTGTCCATCACTGCTCCGGTTCGCAGAGATGGAATATGTTCAGAGAGGTGAGGCCATCGGCCCGAAGTCACACAGCAGTGGGCAGCACACCGGGTGCGGGCCCCCTCTGATGTCTGGGCCGCTTCTCCCCCTCGGCTTTGCCCTCCTCGGGACTCTCCTCCTCCCACGCAAGAGGGCAGAAAATACAACATTACACATAAGGGGCGTTGTGGTAGATTTAAAGAGGTTTAGAACAAGTGCTCTTTCGGCTAATTAATGGTCCAACCAGTGACAACACGTTAGAGTATTAAATGGGTCGGGGATGGAGCCCTGCTGCCTGGACTCACCTGTCCTTGCTGCGCAAGCTTGAGTTAATCACTTAACCTCTCTGGGTTTCCTCATATATCATCTATATAAAATGGAGGAAATGACAGTAATAATAATAACAACAACAATAATAATAATAAAATAATATTTACCTCAGTGGGTGTTGTAGGATTAAACGGGTTACAACACGAAAGCTGCCTGGGCTAGCCCATCCCCTTCCCAGCTTGAAAGTATACAGACGCCTCATGAGGGTCTCAGAATTTCACTCATGGTGAGAGAGACTCATAATCCTGGTAGCCACAGCTTCCCATTCCCTGCCTTCATTTCGGCAGCTCAGTGAGGAGGGGCTGTGGTCACCTCCGTCTCACAGAGGATGAAGGCTGCCCCTCACCCTCACAGGTGCGGCGCTTCTCCAAGGGCGGCCTGCTGACGGGCAGCACCAGCGCCACTGGGGGTTTGCACGAGCTGAAGCTTCTGGGCCCCACCTGGGACCTACTGAACCAGAGTCTCAAGGGTACCCGGCAGTCTGTTTTATCAAGCCCTCCGGGATTCTGATCGTCTCCACAATTTGAGAGGAGCTAGGCGAGGCCTCTGAAGAGCCTGTGCTGTGAACCCCAGAGTACCTCATGCGGGGCAAGTCAAAGAAAGTAGGGTGGGGGAGGGGAATCACCGCCTCAGCACCCTCTTGGCGCCTTGAGTCTGCTATTTTTCTTGGAGTGGAAGTAGAAGAGGCAAGCAGGATTCTCTGAAACTTCAGGAGGTGATCTTTATCTGTGGGGGTCACCTGAGTACATGTGAGCCAGTTTCTGAAAGCTTGGGGCTTTGACCCCCTTCCCAGGGGAAGACAGGAGCCCAGAGCCTACTGGGAGCTCAGCACAGCGGGGAACCTGACTTTCGGAAGGGACCTCCAGGGAAACCCTAGATGCAGGGTGCACCCACCATGGGATGCCTTCCCTGGGCCACAGCCCTTCCCCTCACAGGAGCCGGGCCTTGTCTGAGGAGCCCAGGGCCCACGTCAGCCCTGGGCCCACTGCACCTATAGCACTTGGGTCCCTCTACCCCAGGCGCTCCCATTGTCTCCTATCACTGGGTGCTTTATCTGCCAACAACAGGTCCCTTCAGGCAACCAGAGAGTCACAGCCTCTCAGGTGAGGAAGACGACATCAATAATCACACTGACCCAACAACCTCTACTCCACTCGGCTTTCCACAGTATCATCCCAACGCCTCAACGGTGAGGTGGCAGAATGACGGTCCCAAGTACACAGATGAGAAACTGAGCCTACGAGAAGAGAATGACTTGCCCGAGGTGGGCCAGCTCGGCCGCCTGGCCTCTACTTAATGCTGTCCTCAGGGGCACTCATGTGCCTGCCGTCTCCCCCTGGGCTTCGCTCTGCCGCTGCTGTTGGACGTGACTCCTTACAACATCGTGGACTATAACCCAAGCCCATACCAATAACTCTGGATCAGCAAAGGTTACATGGGGTTCAACCTTCAAATGGTTAAAATGGAAGAGAAAGTTATGTGGTTCAAAGGGACAAACCTTCAAGTTCCCAGCAGCCTGGGTGCTGCAGAGACCTGTGGTTTCATGGTCCACGGCGCAGCCCAGTCAAGCTCTGGAGACGCTTCTGATCCTGCCTGCCTGCTTCGCCCAGTCTCGACTTTTCTCATCTACCATCCCCCCTCTCCCCTGGGGCCTCCCGGAGCCTGCAGACTCCTCAGAACCAGTTCTCGATGACCAGGCTCAGAGCCCGGAGCCTCCTGTGTGGCTGTGGAGGGGTACACAGGGCCTCGCCTTCCCCTGCATTGGTCTCTCCTAGTGCTCGGGCCCCCACTGAGAACAGAAAACTTACCAAGCTAGTCCCTGGCCATGTGTGAGGGCCTTGGAGTCTGAGGACTCAGATGGAAATGGTTGCTGTGCCCTTTTCCTGTCGTGTGACTATGGGCAAGTCACTCCATCCCTCTGAGTGTCGGTCTTTCTTTTGTGAGAGGGGGGCAGCAACAGTCCCCCCCTCATCAGATGGCCATGAGGAGGAGAGAGTTCCAGTGCAGTACCTAGCACCGGGCCTGGTCTTGCAAGCCCTCATTACTCCCATTTAACACATCAGCTATTTCTCAGAGCAAGGGACACACCTCTGGCCCCTTTATAAGTGCTAATTTCCCCAGCACCCAACCTGGGCTTTTGGCTCACAAACTCCCTACAGCTGACATCCAGCAACATTTGCTTTCCTCTCCTACTGTGACTCCAGGACGTGGCCCACAGCTGGCACGGTCTGAACCCAGTTGCCCTAGGGAGCAAAGGGGGGGTTGGCGGTAAAAGAACTGGGGAACCCAGGGTTTTGCCCCAGAAAGCAGGGCCCCAGGAGGGGCTGATAAGGGACTTCCTGACTCCCAGGGGCCCACAGAGGCGCTAGGCAGGGGCAGGGAGTGAGGACGGCCGTATCCTTGCACTGAGATCTGGCCTGGGAGTACAGAGACCGGGGTTCAATTCCTGACTCCAAAGCTGTGTGACTCAGGCCAGTTACTTGACCTCGCTGAACCTGTTGCCTAGTCAGTAATTGATAATAAAGACACCTAACTGAAAGGCTCTTTGTGGTTGTTTTTAATCCTGATTTGCCACATGAGATGAAAGACTGGCCCACGGTGGGGGTTCAGCAAAGAGCAGTGGAAACCAGATTGAGGGCCCAAGGTGCCATGGTCCTCTCCACTTCAGTTTTACGGTTACATGGGGACAGCAAGGCCCAGAGGTTTAGAGACTTGCCCAAGGTCACACAGGATGTGCACATCATTGCCTTCCTGGGCCATCCTGTGTGGTCTCAGGGGCCACTCACTCCTACTTGAGACTTTTGGGTTTCATCTTGGCCTGAAGTAAAGCCCTCCCAGGGAGCCTTGAGCCCAACCTGGTGCCCGAGAGGGTCTTCTCAGTTAAAGGTGGTAGTCCTAAGGACACAGGAAAAGACACAACTACTATCTTCACTGACAGAGGGATGAGGGAATGGAAGCATTTTCACAAAAATACCAACACAGTCCAGACTGAGCTGCCCACTGACTGGCTGTTCAGGAGAACTCCCTATTCCTGGAGGTGTGCGAGCTGGGACTAATCAACACTGGATGGCAAGCTGGCCTTGGTGGCCTTTTAAAGAAAGCCACCGCCGCCATCCCCCCCCCCCCATGGCTGCCAGGCAACCCTGACCCTGCTCAGTTCCAACCTCTCCCCCTCCTTCAGATCAAGCTCAGACTCCTAGACTCGGCCTTCGAGGCCTCTGGACTCAATCATCCTATGTTCTCATCTGCCTCCCATCTGGTCTGGGAGCTCCACAAGGGTAGGTCCCGGACACTTTTATTCCTCAGCTTTCTGGGGCCCATCAGGGAAGGGAGGTCATATTTACTGAGCAAGTACCACGGGCCAGGCCTCTGCCCAGGTACTTTACACACACAGTGGCATTTGATTCTTTACAGCAAGCCATGACGTCAGATGATATTATTAGCCTCACTTTGCAGATCCTCAAACTGAGGTCAGAAAGATTAAGCAACTTGCCAAAAATCACACAGCTACATGAGTGCTGAAGAAGTGAAAGGACGAAGGAAGGGGTGCTGAGCACGTGGTGTTCTTGGCTTTTAGTCCCCCGTCCCCAGGGGCACCCACAGCAGGCAGGCACACTTGGTTGCCCATCTATCTCCAACTCTTGGGGAGCCCCATCCGGACGCCGAGTGAGGTGGAACTCCATGAACTCACTAACCACAACCACAGCCTTTGGGGGTGTGTGGGAGGCCCTGTCCCCCAGCCTGTCACAGCTCCAGTCCTGCCCTACCCCCAAACCAGCCAAAGCTCTGTGCCAGCCCAGTGATTCTGCTTGGCAGCAGCTCAGGGAAAGATGAGCTGGCACTCAGCCAGCCTGGGCCTGGATGTGGCAGGAGAAGGTCGCATGGGAGAACCTGGGAGATGCCTGAATCTGGCTCAGCCATGCTCTGCCCATGCTGCAGCGGAGCTGCGAAGCACTTTCTGGACATCTGGCCCCTTGGACAAGGATCTGGAAAAGGAAGCCGGCAACTACAGCAGAGGTATCACCAATAAAAACAGCAAGAAGTTACCTAACATCCGCTGGGTCCAGGCCCCAGGCTGGCTTTGCTGTACTCTGCTGGCTTCCACCAACCTCAAGAAGTAGCTACTATCTTCTTCACTTTAGAGGCAGGGAAACAGAGGTTCCATCGGACCAGGAGAACACTAGGGTCCAGAGAGAGGGTTGGGGTGACCAGCTGGGACCTCCATGAGCATAAATCTGAGGCCTCCAGTGGCTGAGAGGGACGAGGGAGGTTTGGACATCCTTCCCCATTCCTGCACTCTTTCCTACCCACACCTTCATTGCAGCTCAGGCCCCTCCTTAGGGAAGACTTCCCTGATTTCCTCCGCTGAGGCTAGGTTAGGCCCTGGGCCCCCTGCTATCACACTTTAACCTCTCTGGACTGTCCCCACCTGCGCAGGCCTGTCCCCAATGAGACAGACGGGAGGAAGTAAAGACGGCAACCACCTAGGGATTCAGGGATCCCAGCTTTATCCTGATTTACCATGAGGCTTTGGGGGGGTCCCCTTCCCATCTGCAAAATGGGGCACCCCGTGTCACTGTCGGGGCTGGGAAGAGAAACATTCTATCCTTGGAACCAGGACCCAGAGGATGGCCATGACCTTTCTCTCCCAGGTACCCCAACCCTTGGGTCAACACCTAGCAGGGCAGAGTACCTGTGATTTGGGAGGGCCAAGGCATCTGGGAGAGGGGGTGGCTTTGGGGGAAGACGTGCATCAATCTCTAATGCAAAAGACAAGAATACCACCATGCTACTTTCTGTCGACACTTTAAACCAGCCTGAGCAAGACGGTGCCTGAAAAGAGCGGCCAGATCGGCCTGGACTTAGCTTTGTGGACAGACTGGGCTCAAATCCCTGCTCTGACAGGCTGTGCGACTTTGGATGTGCCATGTAACCTTTCTGAGACTCAGTCTCCCTAAACATAAATGGGGACCTTACTAGTCCCAGACAACTGGTTTTTATTGATATTCGCTGTCCCATCCCTAGCCTCACTTTCTCCATCCGAAAACTGGGGACTTTGACGGTACCATTTCACAGGACTGCTTAAGGGTCCCGGAGATTCAGGAGGAAGGCCAGCGCGGATAGGAGAGAGCACAATCAGAGAGGGGAAGGGACCTGCCTGGACTCGTCAGAGGGGATGGCCGCGGTGTGGGGAACCCCCTCTGTGGCCGCCCCAGGGCCAGAGAAGGGTCATTTCCTTCCGCGTTCAGCCCCGCCGTCACCTCTCCTGTTTGCTCACTCTTAAGTGCGGCGGCGCCGGCAACGGGAAAACGGGGCCAGGCCGGATTTCCTCTGCGGACCTGCGGCTCCTAGAGCTCTCCCCCGACTCCCGCCCCTCCGGACCCCGCGGGGCCACGAGCTGCACGTGCGGCGGTCCGGGCGGCCTCGCCCGCCTAGCGCTTCCTTAGCGACCCCCCCACCTCCTCCCGGCCCTTTCATCCCGCCCCCTGCCACCCCGCCCCTTCCCAGCCGGGGTTCCAGCGGAAAGATGCTTCACCCCCTCGCGCGTTCCGGAGAAACCGAGTCACGCGGGGGCGCGCCGGCCGGGCGCTAGGACCCCGCAGCTTGGCCGAGGGGGGGGGGCGTGGTGGGGCGGGTCGGCGGGAGAGGTATTTAAATTGGAGCCCGAGCCGCCCCCTCGCGGGTCGGGTTCCCGTGGGGCAGTGGAGCAGCCGTGGGCCTCCTCGGGCCGTGACCCCGGGTCTGGCGCGGGGTGGGGCCGTGGGGGGGGGCAGGTTTGCGCAAGATGTGCCGGGGCTGCGCGGGAGAGGAGCGGCGGCCGCGCTGAGCCAGGTAGGAGCCGCCCCGCGGGCGAGGCTGCCGGCCCCTCGGGGAACCCGCTGGCCCGCGCCCCTGGAGAGCGCGGGGTGCGGCCGGGCCATCCCGATGCCCCCCTCCGCCCCCCAGTAGGCCCCTGCCGCCGTCGCCCCCACTCCCCGCACGGAGCCAAGCGGGACCCTGTCTCAGCTGATCTTTCCCGCGAAAGGGAGGGGCCGGCTTTCCTATTTGACAGATGGGAAAACAGCAGCCAAAAGGCCGGCACTTACTTGCCGGGGAACTCACAGCTAGTCAAGGGCAGATCAGGATTTGAATCCAAGTCTCCTACCGCCCTCGGACTCGGGCGGGCCGGCGCTTTCCATCCCACCGCACCAAATAGCTTGCCCATCTCTGGATGGGGACTGGGGGGGCACCCACCTCTCCCTGAGGAGTTCTGAAGCCGGCCTTCTTCATGAGTGGTAAGATGTGAGGGACCCCCACCCCCACCCGAGCTGCCTGAAATTCCGCCATCACAGCTACATTCCTTTGGGTTAAGGTCTAATTCCCCCGTGGGATGCACATGTCTCCAGAATGGGGCTTGCCCTTAGTGATTCACTGCTTGGTATGAACGTCCACAGCAGCTCTCCCAGGACCCTACTCTGCTGGTGATTGGGGCTGAGAGGAGGGAGAGGAGCACCCCAGAGCCCAGCCCTGTGAGCTTGTCTGTTTATGTGTATAAGGGTGCGGGTCGGAGTCGTTGGAGGTGGTTAACGAGGGAGATCTTGGCCCGGTGTAGCGGGAACACTTGCTTTGGAGGCAGACAGACCAGATTCTGACTCCATCTGCTATTCACTGCCTGTGTGACTTTGGGTAAGTCACCTCTCTGAGCCTTGTTTTCCTCCTGGGCACAATAAGAGTAGTTCTATAGGGGAGGGAGCAGGCAGCTCAGCACCTAATGGAGAAAACACAGCATTTGGGTCATGTAGACCTGGGCTAACACCTACCCCCTAAATGCTTATGAACTATGGGCTAAGTCACTTTCTGAGCCTTGGTTTTCTCATCTGTAAAATGGAAATTATGGTAACCACCTTAATGCGTTGTGACTTCAATAAGATAATACAGATCAAGGGCTTAGAACAGTGTCTAATGCCTTGAAATAGTAGGGACAGGCTTATTATAATAGTATAATAGGCATTGCCTTCTCCCCATCCCCCCACTATTTCTCTCTCTCTCTCTCTCTCTCTCTCACACACACACACGCACACACGGATATTCTCTGGCATTTGGGAGGCCAGTCAGAGTCCTAAAATGTCTCCTGCCTTCTCTTGCCTAGGCTACTAGTCGGCAGGCCTAGGGCCTCCCTCCTCAGCGTGCCTCACCTGGGCCGGTCAGCCCTCCAGGTCATTGCCCACGATGTGTCCCGGACACCTCACAGCCACTCTCAGCTCGATCGTCACAGTGGCTGGGGGAAGCCGGTGGCAGGACAGCCACCAGGCGACCTGCTGTACAGCTGGGACACTGAGGCACAGGGAGCACGGAAGCAGTAGTGTCCGAATGTCAGCCTGGGTCTGAGTGACCACAGTCCTCCCTCTTGAGAGTGAGTGGCCCTCAGGGTCCCCACAGCGAGTCGGGGGCACTACCGAAGGGGGCCCGCAGACGAGATGCCAGGGCAGAGGTCCACGGGCTCCAGGGACTTCGGCTGGATGCGCAGGTGCCCACCTTCGGGGTAGGGTGAAATCTGACAGGCGGAAGAGGGGCGTAGTGAGGGCTCCTTTGAGCAGCCCTGCCTTCAGGTTCAGAACCCATCCAGGCCCTTCCTTGTCCTGACCTCACAGCCCCTGAAGTAGAGCTTCTACCCCTCACTTTGCCATTTGTTCAATAGATGTTTGGTGAGCTCCACTTAATAGACCCCTGTTCTCATAGAATCAGAAATAAATGAACAGGAGGGGCGCCTGGGTGGCTCAGTCGGTTAAGCGTCTGCCTTCGGCTCAGGTCATGCTCCCAGGGTCCTGGGATGGAGCCCCGCATCCCGCATCGGGCTCCCTGCTCGGCGGGGAGTCTGCTTGTTCTTCTCCCTCTGCCCATCCCCCTGCTCGCACGCTCTCTCTCTCTCTCTTTTTCAAACAAAGAAATAAAATCTTAAAAAAAAAAAAAAAGAAAGAAATTAGCAGGAAATGATCAATGCGAGGAAACAAAATGTGTGGGCCTCTGGGGGGTAGCCTTCCAGGCCCTGAGGCAGGAATGCACTTGCTATGTTTGAGGAACGGTGGGAAAGCTAGAATTTGGTAAGGGCAGGACAAATGGTCGCTGTGGCCAGGGAGGCGATTGTGTAAAGCCTGGATTTCATTGGATGTTCTCAAGCAGTGAGACCCATGCTCCGATACATGATTCAAAGACATCACTCCGGCTGTGTGTGGAGGACAACCTGAAGGGGGTCCAGGTGGAAGCAGGTGTTGCTGCTTTCGAGGCCCAGGGCTGTGGTGGTGCCTCCGTGCGGAGCAGCGAGGCAGGAGGGAGGTAGCAGACTCAGGGTCTGTTTTTCAGGCAGAACAGACAGAACCTGCTGTTGGGGGTAAGGAGTAAGGCAGGGAGATGAAAAGAGAGTCAAGAAGGACTGCTCTTGCCAGTGTCACCTTGTGTCAGTTCTCAGTGCCTCCCTGGCCTGCCCGGTGGTGTAAGATCCCAGGGGATGGTGAGTCCTCTTTGCCCCGGGGCGCCTCCCATAGGAGCCGGGGTCAGGGGAACGAACCACGGAGGGCTCAGTGCTGTGCTCACTTGAAGCTCAGGGTCTGTGGGAACGTGGAGGATGAGCTACCCAGACTTGGGGAATCAGAGAAGGCTTCCTGGAGGAAGCGGTATCTAAGCTGAGACCCAGAGGATGAGGAGGCATTCAGCACAAGAGGGGGGAGGAAGTGAAGGCTTGGAGCGATGCAAAAGTGCACACAGAACTGAAGGAAATAGAGGCTGCCAGAAGCCAGAGCGGGAGAGGGGAGACAGTGAGCCATGAAGCTGGGGGAAAGAGCTGGGGTGGGCAGGCACACTCCCCAAGGAGTGCAAAGGTCCCACTGGAGGTTTCCATTCAATTCTGAGTACACTAGCTTTCAAATGGGCTGTAATGTTCTGCTTTTTAAACAGCAGAACCAAATCTCCTGTGAACGCAGGCGGTGAGAGAAGAGCAGCAATGGGGGGCAGGGGGCCCATGGCCCCGAGCTGAACCCAGGGAATGGGGTTGAAAAGACGCCACTGTGGCCCAGGCGTGTGTGGACCAGAAAGGGCCTCAGAGTAACCATCTTAATTTAAAATTCATCACCAGGACACTAGGGGATTCCAACAGCCAAAGACTCAGTCCTCAAAGGTCCTGTAGATGCCTCTTCTTCTAAAGCACCCTTCAGAGTTGCAATTGAGCGCTCATTTATCGAGCACCTGCAGGTGATGTTCTAGAGTAGAGGTTAAGGGTAAAGATGGCGTGGGCCTGCCACTAGTAAGCTGTGTGACTTTGGTCATGTTACTTAATCTCTCTGAGCCTCAGTTTCCCCATCTGCAAAATGGGAATGGTAATCATAGAACCAAGTCCTTAAATTACTGTAAGGATTAAGTGAGTTAATACCTTAAAGTACGGAGAAGAGTGCCTGGTGCATAATAGGGGCTCTGTAAAGGCACTTTCATACAAGGAATCTCATTTGATCTTTACCAAAACCTAGCAAAGTTGGCATTAATCTCAAAAGAGGAAACTGAGGCTCAGAGAGGTGAAGTGACTTGTACAGGTCCCATAGCAGGTAAGTGGAGGGAAGGAGGGAGCACTCAGTTATGGGTGACTGAGTCCAGTGCTCTTGGAGGGCTTTATGTGTCCTTCCTCGTGAACACTCTGTGTGTGTTCTGGTCACTTCTGTGCATTTATCTGTGACCCCAGTTCCCAGCACAGAGCCAGACTTTTTTTTTTT